AATAGATTCCATGCCTATAGGACTTAATTCAGATTCTAGTACAATGAGTAATTATGTATGTTTCCCCGCCTGCAAACCGTTAAAATCAGTATTACACTTAGATATCATGCCTATAGGGAACCATATTCGAAATTCTGCTTTTCAATCTAGTTTAGTCTAAACAAGTCAACTTGATCACGCCTAGTTCATTTCTGACTCGGTTTTATTAAGTATTAAGTATTTCTCGAAACAAGTTCTTTGAAACTGCCTCAATCTCATTAGATATCATGCCTATAGGTATTAAAGGAGTTCATTTCAAAACCTGCTTTGCTTTTTGCATTAATATAGACATCAGTACTCCGCGTATAGGCAAGCCCTTAGGGCGTTTTCAAATCTGCATATCTGAAACTGTCTCTATTGCTTATGTTTTCTAAATCCTAACAAGCTTTTTTTTATTAAAAAAATCCGTAGGCAAGCGCTAGGGTTATAACTTCTGAGTCTAAAAGAGGTTGTTTGTCTGCATATTCACCTAGATATCCTGCTTTAAGACGTATCTAATAAAGACCTTAACTGTGCTTGAGTCGTGCTGCTTACGTGTTTGTTTGAGGTGGAAATTCTGAGCCTCTAAATTGCTCCCTTTATGTGTAGAAAGTCCTAAATGTTTTGATTGTCGCCTTAGACTTTTCACCTTTAAAAACCTTAGGGGTACGTCTAGAACCACCTATAAGTAGAGGTCTTAACTCCCTCCAGGACCATTAAGAAGGGACAGGTAGTAGCACGTGATAGGAATCCGTGACCAACACTCGCTTTGCATGAGCAATAAGGCGATGGAAAGGGTAGACATGGATGTGATGATCGGTGCGTTAGTGCCACGCGTAGCCCCTTTCTAAGGAGTGATTACCGGGCATTGTACTGATGTGATCCTATAGGCTAACCAACCTAGGACACCCCTTTACATTCACAAATATGCTTATATTGTACTTCTTTCTTTTCAAAATCTAGCTTCTCATTAACTTTTTTTCTTCTCAAACATCTGTGTATTTAACTTAAAACCCCTACTATTTGAGCCATACTTATTTATTTGCTAATTGTACAAATCCACAAAAACTATTTGGCCGGTGTAAGGCCCCGTGAAAATTTCTACCCAAAACTCGAAAGCTCGTAGTGCCAAATAAGGAATATGAGTTAGAAATTTTGGACCCTTTGGACTGATCTATGCATTAAAAAGTCAAGAAGTAAAGTTTTCCAGAAAAGTGCGATTATGCGGTCGAGAATGCGATCGCATATCAGGTATGCGGACCGCATAGTCGCCGCAGAGTGAGTCAGTGTGTTGGTCAAATTTGAGATCAACTATGCGGTCAATTATGCGATCGCATAACCTATATGTGCACTGCATAGTCGTCGCATAATTTCCTTGGGATATTGTAAAGGGCAGTTATGCGGTGCATTATGCGACCGCAGAACGTGTATGCGGACCGCATTTCTGCCGCAGACCCAGGCAGTGTGTTCAGTTTTGGGGAGCATTTTTGCGGTCCATTCTGCGGACCGCATGTTAACTTTGCGATCGCAGATCTGAGTCGGGCCCCTATTTTCTAATTTTGAAAACCCGACCCCATCCCATTAAAAACACCTCAATAGACCATTTTTCTGTTATTTTTCACGACATAGAGAGAGAGAGGGAGTTCTACAGTGAGAGGGAGTAATCTTCACCAAGTCCTTTCTAAATCCTTGCCCCGAATCCTGAATATTGTCAATTGAAGTTACCAGGTCTTCATCCTAAGAGGTAAGAACTGTACCCTCATCAATAATTTCGAAATTTCTATTAAAAATAGGTAATTAGCAAGTGGGTATATGGGAATAAGGGCTAGTAATCTTGCATGCACAAGAGATAATGGGGTATGGGGAGGATGAGAGCTAAAGAGACAACAATTGGGGTATAATATTAAAGTAATTTCTTTCAAAAAGGAGCCTAAGATCACAATGCACCTTTAATGTTTGGTAATATGCTCAAACGAGCTAGAATCTTAATCTCGTCACTAATTCTTGGTTCAATTGTAATTCTTATACAATAGATTGAAGTGCTAAGAGTCTCGGAATTTTATAAGAATTAGGGGAAAGCTTTATTGAGGTATGTATGGCTAAAAACCCCTCCTCTTAGAAATTGAGCTTCCATGGTGCCCGAGTAAGTGTTCTAAGTTCGAAACGTAATTGATGCAATACTTGTTATGTTAAGTGAATTGATGTTGTGAAAATGTATGTGGTAGGTAATTCTTTAGGTGTTTAATGTGTTATTCTTGTAAATGGAAGATGTGTGGAGAACATGATTTATGTGCTAAATGCCTGACTGTCATGCCAAGGTTACTTTGGGACTAACATGCCAAACTTGACGAATTTCCCTCTATATGACTTAAATTGCTTGTGTATATGCCTATAACTTTAAGTGGCAAGGTAAATGTTGAAAATGGGAACAATGTGAAACGTGGGTTATGGAATGTGGAAATTGTGGCCCCAAGTGCCGGTAAACTAATACATGTGTAACCAAAGATTGGTGTGAGATGATAACGGAAAATGGTAACGTCTTGGGAAGACGGCTTAGCCGATCGGGCCGTGATCGGACGCCATGATATATATACACATGGTGGTAATGCATTGATGATTGAAACGGAAAAGTGAATAATGAAATAATGATAACGTCTCGGGGAGACGACTTAGCCGATCGGGCCGTGATCGGACTCCGCTCACGGAAGCGGTGGTAATATGGATAACGATGCAACAGTGTGGGATGCTCCAATCTGAAATCTCAGAAACCATGTGAAAATCATGTGAACCTCCTTATATTGTTGGCATGGTGCTTATTTGAAACTTTGTTGTCTTTACGATTTCCTCTTTACCCATGTATGGTTGTTCTTTCTAGTAGGATGGTGTTTAGTTATACATACTAGTACCACGGTACTAACGTCCTTTTTGCCAGGGGCGCTACATTTTTAAATGAATATAGGTGGATCCATAGCGGATAGTGCCGATCGTGTGTAGCGGAGAATCCTCTTCTCAAAATCTTGGTGAGCCCCTTTCCTCCTTCAAGGGGTTATGTTGTACACCTTTTGTTATAGATATCCATTTTGAGGTATAGCCGGGGCCTTGTTGCCGGCGTTGTTATCATTGTCTTTTGCATCCTTAGAGGCTCCGTAGACGTTTGTGTGGGTTGTGTACGGGTATTGGATAGGTCAACAAACCATGTTGTAACTTTGTACTCTTGCTTTCTTCTAAACTATAACTGTAGGAAATCTTGGAAGCCTAACTACGGTTTAAGGTTATGTTATAAAATAGGATATCCATGTTGAATGTACAACCCCTTTTATTGTCTAATTAAACTAAAAGGAATTGGATCCCTTAATCGTATTGAGTTGGGTAGGAAGTGTTTGGGTAAGGCTTGCTCAGTTGGGTTCACTCGATTGAGCGCCGGTCGCGCCTCCCGAGGTTGGGGTGTGACAAACATAGTATCAGAGCCTAAGGTTTTAAAGTGTCCTAGGATGTCTCGGAGCCGTGTCTAGTAGAGTCCTTCTTATCGGTGTGAAGTCGACCACATCTATAAGTTGGAGGCTACTTGGGCATTAGGAATAACACCCTTCTTTGATGTCCTGGATCGTGCGGAAATTGTGGAACTATCTTCCCCCCCCCCCCCCTAACTATTACATTGATCTACTTTTCAGTAAATGGCACCTATGAAGAAAGCGAAAATTGGCCAAGGAGCCAATGCCACCTCAGGTGTGGCTGATGAATCGTTGCTTGATACTGCGGGTGAGGGTAGTCGCCCTGCTATCACCCTGCCTGGTCCTCCTATCCCAGAGTAGACCACCCTAGTTCCTACACCTGCGGAGGATACTACTATCCCTCCCATTGATACTCCTATTCCGCCTCTAGCCCCAGCTCTTAGTTCTGGTATTTCTGATGGGGATCTTAGGGGAGCTATTCAGATGCTGACACAGCTAGCGGCCTCCCAGGCCCAGAGGTCAAGTGTTGCACCCAGTTCATCTAGCCAGCAAGGGGATTCCACCAGTTCCAGGGTAAACAGATTTCTTCAGTTAGACCCTCCAGTATTTTCGGGTGCCAATCCAGAAGAGGACCCTCAGGATTTTATTGATGAGATGCACAAGACTCTCAGGGTCATGCGTGCAACTGAGACAGAGGGAGTAGAGTTGGCTGCCTACCGCTTGAAAGGGGTGGCCTATGCGTGGTTTGAGTTATGGGAGGATTCTCGCGAGGAGGGGAGCCCTTCGGCGAGGTGGAGTGAGTTCGCTGAAGCCTTTATAGATCATTTTTTGCCTGCTGAGATAAGGGCAGCCCGTGCAGCGGAGTTCGAAAATCTGAAACAGGGTAGCAGAAGTGTGTGGGAGTACCATATGGAGTTTGCCCATTTGTCCAAGTATGCTATTCACATGTTGCCCACCATAGAGGCTAGGGTGCGCCGATTTGTGCAGGGTCTCAATCATTTAACTATTAATGAGGTTTCTACAACTGCATTGAATTCTAACATGAATTATGGGAAGATGGTGGCGTTTGCTCAGGCCACAGAGAATCGTAAACTGAAGAACAGAATAGAAAGAGAGGGTAACAGAAAGACCCGGTCTGCGGGCAACATTGGTGAGTCACTAGCTGGGGGAAGGTCAGCATTTTGGGGAGGATTATCAGGGACGTCCCAGTCTGTTGCACAGTCTTCAGCTAGTGCACCGCCGTCAGGGCCTAGCCAGCAGCAGCAGTGGAGTCGTTTCAGGCCCAGTCAGGGCAACAGAGGATCCTATCAGCGGGGTCTGTCAGGAGAGTGGTCCCAGCAGCAGCAGAGGTCCCCGTGCCCCAAGTGCGGGAAGATGCACTCAGGGGTTTGCTACTTGGAGTTACCCGTGTGCTATGGATGCGGGATGAGGGGCCACATTCAGAGGCATTGTCATGCATCCCGCCAGGGAGCAGGTAGGGTCACAGCACATTCATCCGGTCCAGCAGTTGCTACATCATCAGCCCCCTATCCAGCTCGAGGTACCCAGCACCAGCATGGCGAGGTGCAGCAAGGGGTGGTGAGCAGAGTTTAGGAGGGCCCAGCCGGTTCTATGCTATGAGTGGTCGCCAGACTGCAGAGGCCTCTCCAGATATTTTTACAGGTATTCTGAATTTTCAATCCCATGATGTGTATGCACTTATTGACCCCGGTTCCACCATGTCCTATGTTACCCCCTTTATTGCTATAGAATTCGGGATAGAACCAGAACAGCTTCATGAACCATTCCTGGTATCTACTCCGGTTGGTGAGTCAATTTTTGCTACTCGAGTTTATAGAAGTTGTGTTGTCACGGTGCATGGTAGGAATACCATGGCCGATCTTATTGAACTAGGGATGGTGGATTTTGATGTAATAATGGGAATGGATTGGCTCTATTCGTGTTTTGCTAAGCTTGATTGTCGAACTAGAACTATGAGGCTTGAGTTTCCTAATGAGCCCGTGGTTGAATGGAAGGGAGATAATGTAGTGCCTAAAGGTCGGTTTATTTCTTACCTTAAGGCAGCAAAGATGATCAAGAAGGGGTGTATCTATCATTTAGTCCATGTTACGGACACTGATGCCAAGGCACCTAGCCTTGAGACTGTACCTGTTGTGAATGAATTTCCGGATGTCTTTCCAGATGAGCTCCCTGGGTTCCACCAGACAGGGAGATTGACTTTGGAATCGATGTGATGCCAGGCACGCAGCCTATATCAATTCCACCTTAGAGAATGGCACCGGCTGAATTGAAAGAGCTAAAGAAACAATTGAAGGATTTGCTAGAAAAGGGTTTCATCCGGCCGAGTGTGTCACCGTGGGGCGCACCGGTCTTTTTAATAAAGAAGAAAGATGGTTCTCTACGGATGTGTATTGACTACCGGCAACTCAACAAAGTCACAATCAAAAATAAATACCCCCTTCCTAGGATAGATGACTTATTTGATCAATTGCAAGGTGCTATGTGTTTTTCAAAAATTGATTTGCGGTCCGGGTATCATCAATTGAAGATAAGGGAGCAGGATATTCCAAAGACAGCTTTCAGGACTCGGTATGGGCACTTTGAATTTTTGGTGATGTCTTTTGGGCTAACAAATGCCCCGACAGCTTTCGCGGATCTTATGAATCGAGTCTTCAAGCCTTTTCTATACTCCTTTGTGATAGTATTCATTGATGATATTCTCGTATATTCCCGAAGTCAAGAAGATCATGCTAACCATCTCAGGGCAGTTCTGCAGACCCTTCAGCAACATCAACTGTATGCAAAGTTTTCGAAATGTGAATTTTGGCTTGAATCCGTCACGTTCTTGGGTCATGTCGTCTCCAGGGAAGGAATTATGGTTGACCCTCAAAAGATTGCGACAGTGAAGAATTGGCCTAGGCCTACCGCTCCAACTGAGATTCACAGTTTCTTGGGTTTGGCTGGGTACTACAGAAGGTTTGTGGAGGGATTTTCTACTCTTGCCTCTCCCTTGACCAAATTGACCCAAAAAGCAGTTAAGTTCCAGTGGTCCGATGCTTGTGAAAGGAGCTTCCGGGAATTGAAATCAAGACTGAATACAGCACCGGTATTAACTCTGCCAGGGGGTACAGAGGGATTTGTGGTGTATTGCAATGCTTCAAGGATCGGTCTTGGGTGTGTGTTAATGCAACATGGCAAGGTTATAGCCTACGCTTCTAGGCAACTCAAGAATCATGAAAAGAACTATCCAACTTATGACCTAGAGCTTGCGACAGTGGTGTTCGCGCTAAAGATTTGGCGACATTATCTATATGGGGTCCATGTGGATGTATTCACAGACCACAAGAGCCTTCAATATATTTTCAAGCAAAAGGAGCTGAATCTGAGGCAGAGAAGGTGGCTAGAGTTACTCAAAGACTATGACATTGATATTCTCTATCACCCGGGAAAGGCTAATGTTGTGGCAGATGCTCTTAGCCGAAATCTATGGGGAGTTTGGCTCGTTGAGGGCAGATCGGAGGTCGTTGGCCCGGGAGGTTCATCAATTGGCCAGTTTGGGAGTTCGTCTTGCGGACTCTAATGATGGAGGGGTAATTGTGCAGAATAGGGCTGAATCGTCACTTGTGGCAGAGGTGAAGGACAAGCAATTCAACGACCCATTGTTAGTACAACTGAAAGAGGGGATTCATAAACACAAGACCACAGCTTTTTTGCTTGGCATGGATGATGGTACCCTATGGTGCCAAGCACGCCTATGTGTTCCGGATATTGACGGTCTTCGGGGAAGGATCATGGCAGAAGCTCACACTTCCAGGTATTCAGTGCACCCAGGTTCTACAAAAATGTATCATGATCTTAAGGAAGTTTATTGGTGGAACAACATGAAAAGGGATGTGGCGGACTTTGTGGCTAGATGTCCGAACTGTCAGCAAGTGAAGGCCGAACATCAAAGACCTAGAAGACTGGCTCAAAGCATAGAAATTCCAATGTGGAAATGGGAAATGATCAATATGGTTTTTGTGGTAGGGTTGCCGCGCACTCCACGCAAGTTTGACTCAATTGGGGTTATTGTTGATCGACTCACAAAATCAACGCACTTCTTGCCAGTCAAATCTACCGACGCAGTGGAACAGTATGCTTAGTTGTATATCAAGGAAATAGTCAGGTTGCATGGTACTCCAGTCTCAATCATTTCAGATCGAGGGGCTCATTTCACGGCCACCTTTTGGAAGAAATTTCAGCATGGTTTGGGGACGCAGGTAAATCTTAGCATAGGTTTTCATCCCCAGACTATTCAGACGCTTGAGGATATGTTCCGTGCTTGTACTCTCGATTTCAAAGGTAGCTGGGATGATCATTTGCCACTTATAGAGTTTGCTTACAACAATAGCTTCCATGCTAGCATCCAGATGGCACCATTTGAGGCACTGTATGGTAGGAGATGTAGGTCTCCCATTGGGTGGTTCGAGGTCGGAGAAGCTGAATTAATAGGGCCGGACCTTGTACACCAAGCCATGGAGAAAGTCAAAATTATTAAGGAAAGGTTGAGGACTGCTCAGAGTCGCCAAAAGTCTTATTCGGACGTCTATCGTAGGGGTTTGGAGTTAAAAGAAGATGATTGGGTATTCTTAAAGATTTCCCCATGAAAGGTATCATGCGGTTTGGTAAGAAAGGAAAATTGAGCCCAAGGTATGTCGGGTCGTACAGGATCATCCAGCGGATTGGTCAGGTGGCATACAAACTTGAGTTGCCTCCCGAGATGTCATTGGTACACCCAATCTTTCATGTGTCTATGTTGAAGAAAGTACTGGGAGATCCGTCCACTATCGTGCCAGTTGAAACTATTGAGGTCAATGAAGAGCTGTCCTATGAAGAAGTTCTAGTTGCCATTCTTGACAGGTAGGTCCGAAAATTGAGGAATAAGGAAATTGCCTCCGTAAAGGTGTTATGGCGAAACCAGCAAGTTGAGGAAGCCACTTGGGAAGCCGGGGAAGAAATGAGGAGGAAGTACCCACATTTGTTTGTATAGCCATGTAATAGCTTTCATCTATTTGGCCTCTATGAACTCTGTATCCTTGATTTGATCTATGCAAATTGTTCTGTTTCATTTTGGTTATATCATTGTCTATGCAGCAATGGTTAGTATTGTACAGGTTATGTTGTGTTTATGTGATGTGTATATGCTGTTAGGGTATGTTTCTATGGCTCTCTGGCAGGTGGATAGGCCTAGATATAAAGGAAACTCTAGCGATATTTCTAGAAATTTAGGGAGTTAGCCAAATTCAGGGCTATTGAGGTGTTCCATGATTGTGAGAAACTGAGATTGCATAAAGATTGCTCATGAGTGAACCTTATTCCTCATTCGGGGACGAATGATCTTAAGTGGGGGAGAATGTAAGGCCCCGTGAAAATTTCTAACCAAAACTCGAAAGTTCGTAGTGCCAAATTAGGAATATGAGTTAGAAATGTTTAAATTTTGACCCTTTGGACTGATCTATGCATTAAAAAGTCAAAAAGTAAAGTTTTCCAGAAAAGTGCGATTATGCGGTCGAAAATGTGATCGCCTATCAAGTATGCGGACGGCAGAGTCGCCGCAGAGAGAGTCAGTGTGTTGGTCAAATTTGAGGTCAACTATGCGGTCAATTATGTGAGCGCATAACCTATATGTGCACCGCATAGTCGTCGCATAATTTCCTTGGGATTTTGTAAAGGGCATCTCTGCGGTGCATTATGCAACCGCAGAACGTGTATGCGGACCGCATTTCTGCCGCAGACCCAGGCAGTGTGTTCAGTTTTGGGGAGCATTTTTGCGGTCAATTCTGCGGACCGCATGTTAACTTTGCGATCACAAATGCGATCGCAGATCTAAGTCGGGCCCCTATTTTCTAATTTTTAAAAACCCGATCCCATCCCATTAAAAACACCTCAATAGACCATTTTTCTGTTATTTTTCACGACATAGAGAGAGAGGGGGAGTTCTACAGTGAGAGGGAGTAATCTTCACCAAGTCCTTTCTAAATCCTTGCCCCAAATCCTTGAAGATTGTCAATTGAAGTTACCAGGTCTTCATCCTAAGAGGTAAGAACTGTACCCTCATCAATAATTTCGAAATTTCTGTTAAAAATAGGTAATTAGCAAGTGGGTAGATGGGAATAAGGGCTAGTAATCTTGCATGCACAAGAGATAATGGGGTATGGGGAGGATGAGAGCTAAAGAGACAACAATTGGGGTATAACATTAAAGTAATTTCTTTCAAAAAGGGGCCTAAGATCACAATGCACCTTTAGTGTTTGGTAATATGCTAAAACGAGCTAGAATCTTAATCTCGTCACTAATTCTTCGTTCAATTGTATTTCTTATACAATAGATTGAAGTGCTAAGAGTCCCAGAATTTTATAAGAATTAGGGGAAAGCTTTATTGAGGTATATATGGCTAAAACCCCCTCCTCTTAGAAATTGAGCTTCCATGGTGCTTGAGTAAGTGTTCTAAGTTCGAAACGTAGTTGATGCAATACTTGTTATGTGAAGTGAATTGATGTTGTGAAAATGTATGTGGTAGGTAATTCTTTAGGTGATTAATATGTTATTCTTGTAAATGGAAGATGTGTGGAGAATATGATTTATGTGCTAAATGCCTAAGTGTCATGCCAAGGTTACTTTGGGACTAACATGCCAAACTTGGCGAATTTCCCTCTATGCTTATGACTTAAATTGCTTGTGTATATACCTATAACTTTAAGTGGCAAGGTAAATGTTGAAAATGGGAACAATGTGAAACGTGGGTTATGGA